TTGACCAGTAGCTGCATTGAGGTGCCAGAAGAATTTCTGAGAATTCATGCTTGTAGACTGCATTTGCTCAGGGTTATTGTTAGGAGTGTGTGGTGCTATTGACTACCTTGAAGCGTGTGCTTAACTGATGAAAAAATAAAATAGAATAGAATTCAACTTTATTGTCATTGCACATGTCACAAGTACAAGGCAACGAAATGCAGTTTGCATCCATCCAGAAGTGCTTTAGCTGTAATATAGATATATTACAAAATATATATTAGCAATAATATAGCTATATAGATATATAACAGAAATGTGTCTGTTATAGGTATGAGGGTACAGAATATGGGTCTATTATGGGTATGTTACAATGTACACGGTATGAAGGTATGTTATGAATACGCTATAACTAATAAAAAAGATGGAAGCAACAAAGCTTTTTTTCTCAACTAAAAGGCCAGAATGGTCTGCATTGTACTTTAAACAAGAAAACTTTTAAAGGTCACGTTTGTGTTTACCATAGCTGTACTGTTTCCTGTATTTATGACATACAGTGCTGCGAAAAAATGTTTGCCCCCTTCCTGATTTCCTAATTTTGTTGTTTATATGTTTGTCACATGTTTCAGATCATCAAACAAATGTAAATATCAGACAAAGAAGATAGAAATAAAACAAAATGCAGTTTCTAAATGAAAGTGTTTGTCATGGTCCGAAGTCTGTGACTCCGTGTTTATGTTAAGTTTATTATTATTCTGTGGTTTGGTTATCTTGGGTTTTTGTACTCTCCTGCTTCACGTTTCATGTTCCTATGTCTGTGTCCCCCAGTCTGTGTTTAGTTGGTGTGTGTTGTGTTCAGTCGGTGGGTTTCCTGTTTTATTTTGAAGGTCTCTGTCTGATGTCAGTGTGTTCTATTTAAGGTTCCCCTGCCTCGTCAGCTGTTATGTCTCCCAGGTGTGTTCCCCTCCTGTTTCCCATCCCCTGATTACTGGTGTGTATATTTATGGTGCCTCGTTGCTGGTTCGTCTGCTTCTCTCCGTCGTCATCCCGTGTATTTCCCTGTGCCTCCCTGCATCTTGGTTTCTGGTTAGTTTTGTTAGTTTTGCCCAGTTTAGGTTTTCTTAGTTTCATGTTCACCCTCGCCATTTCTGTTTGTATCTACTTTTGTGTATTAAACTCACTTGCACCAGAGCTGCCGCTTCCTGGGTCCTAAATCATTCACACACGGCTTG